CCTTGAACCTGACCAGCTTCTGCCTAATTCTAACCAATTTTACAACTAAAAATCGCAATATTTAAGTTATTTCTTATTCGATCTTTTTGAACTTGGTATCGTTTAATAGGGAATTAAAAATTATAAAAATTATAACATTAACTGTTTTTGAGCAATTTAAGTTAATAAATTCAAATGACCGCCATCTTTTAATTTTAAATTGAATCAAGATTAATTTTTTTTCTAACATTGGTCTTTTCTTCCTTAACCTATATAAAATTTTTTTTTTAGATCGGTTAAAAAAATTCAAATATAAAGATTTTCATATTAAAATACAAAATGACGGATATCTGGTTAACGACACGATTTTGGAAAAATATTATTCTTGATGTTCTCTTTATTTTGACCCAATGAATCACTACGTAAAATATGTCCCCACCTATTTTGAACACCGTGTATAATGCAAATCTACTTCGATGCAATGCAAACTATAAAAAAAATGTAAATGAAAAATGTAAAGATGTAAATTGTATCAGGATTTAAGAAATATTATACTTAAGTTTAAGTTACACAATGCTGTTTGTTGGCGGATTATTTTCTATGTTGATGTTGCAACATGTTGACGGATTTAACAACACATCAGATGGTCAGTAGGGATTACATCACTCGAATAACTCGGAAGCCTATATGCTGCTGATCCTCGACCAAATATAGACGCTAGACTAATATTTGGGTTTACATCTCCATTTCAGTGTAAAATCTAACTTCTGCCAGATTTTATTGCCATAATCTATTTTCTCACGTACTCTACAGTCTACAAAAATAAATAAAGTTAATTTGCATTTAAATTCAATCAAGTTAATGTGATTTTGAAATTGTGAGTAAAACTAAAATTTAAACAATGAAAATTAGCTTGTTTTAGTGTTAGATTAAATGTTCTTGAACTGGAACACATACTAGGTAGTAACTACTATACTTACAGAAAAAGATTATTAATTTTTTTTACTTTAAATTAATAATTCTACTCAAGTTACCATCATGCAGATTCATCTTTTACTGTACTTATGTGAGCAAAGATTATAAGTGTATAAAAATGTTTATACAAACCAAAACATAATGTATTATTAAAACTCCGAAATACCTTTGGTACCTTAGTAACATAAGTATTAGTTTGTGTTTCATCATATACTATATAGAATTTCAAAAATAAAGATAAACAGTTTTTTTTTTAATATCGAGGCTAGCAATGAGGTGTAACCATTTGTGATTCTCACCAACATCAAGGCCACAGCCAACATTGCCCGGATGACAAACACAAACATTTGAACACAACCATTGTCAACTTTAGGTCCGAACTTGGCTTAGTGGACTAACCATCATGATTAGTCTTGTTTAGGCCATAAACTATAGCAGTTGTGTCTGTAAAAGTTATTTTACGCGTTTATTTTATTTGCATTTTATTTTGAGAGATTACCTTAATAGTTTGAAGGACTTGATTAAAATTTAAAGTATATATAACCAGTTTAAGTTTTGTGAAAGATGCAATAAACAGTAAATATGACCTTTTTACAAGTTAATTTTATTTGAGTTGTAGTTAGAGATATACCATTGGTGGTTTGAAGGATTTGACGAGTGTGAAACCTTGATTTAAAATCAAGATTGTGTTAAAAAAGATTTAAATATCTAACGGAAATTTATGGGTAGAAAACCAAAATTGTTGTCCTAGTTCTTATATTAACATTCGACTAAACATTTTCAGTAAAAAATGCGAATTAGTTTTTTTTTAGGATAAAATAAATACATAAAATACCTTATCTTTTGTTTAGTTTTGTATGGGACTAGGACTATCTCAGATAATCTTGGATGTTTCACATTGATTACGATATTACAGCATGGTGTCCTTATCTCGTACAAGACAAGCTATAATCCCTCGAAAGAACCTTTGACCTTATACTATGTGACGTCATGGCCCTCTTCCCTTCAACTTAATGCTATCACAGTTCCCTTTCATTAATGTTCTTGGATCGTAAAGTTTTAATATCTTTTTAATCATATCATCATTAATTAACTAGTTTTTATGTAAAATTTTATAAAGAGACTGACATGAGAATAATTTGCCATTATAGACACAGAATATATATTATTTTGCTTTCTATTCTCTAAAAATTTATGACATCATAAACAGAAAAAAACTACTAATATAAACAGTACGAAAGAAGACACAAAAATCAAATAAAAAAGTTTTATACAATTGTGAGAGTTTGTAAATGGTATCACCTATTAATTGTCTTTGACTTTTTCGTATGCTCTAATACTTCTTTAATACTTTAAGACAAGCTGTGAAATAAACTGGGATGAATTATTGGTAATTTACATAAAACCCACATTGCCCCTTTCATTCCGATAAGAGCAGGGTGTTTTACTTTATCAGATATGTCTTTGAAAGTAAAAACACCGTACACGTATTCCCTTAGAGTGTCTGATACAAATTAAATTTGTTCGGTTCCTTAGAGAAAACGTCTATTTGGTTGAAACGTATCTAACGGGAGGATCTAACAGTATATATATAATTTATTTTCTATAGTTATTGAAACAGTTCAAGATTACGTAAAACCTCTGTATTTAGCCTTGAAGAAAGATCAATTATAATGTAATATTAATGGTTAAATTAAAAAGGTAAAGTGAACATAAAATACTTTAACTATCTTTGACAATAAATAAAAAAATCCAAGAGACAATGTGATTACAACAGTAATCATTTTAGCTAAATCATCTTGTTGTAGATATCACACATTATTATTAAAATTACTATTCTACATTAATGTCAAAAGGGGGACGTACAAAAAAATGCTTATTGAAAACTTCTTTTATAAACAACTGACAACATCTAATAGTAATATTTTTGAACCAAAACTATAATTAATTTAAAAAATCCAGCATCGAACATAGTAATTGTAATAAAATGCTCCTTTAGTCTTTAACTATAAGTAGAAAAAGTACCGAAAAGTCAATGCAACCACTAATTAATTTAGTTTAATCATCTTGTTGTTGATGTCACTTATAAATTCAAAGGTATTAAATATATATCCGTAATCATAAAGCTACCTTTACCAGGGATGTCCCTTTGTGAAAAGAAGACAACACTGTGCGAGAGAACTAAAACATAACAGTGATCTATTTTTAACTCTCTGTGAACATTTCTCTGTTCTGTTTTGACGTTTTAATGAATACATTACTTGTATCGATCGTATGAGTTTGATTGCTAACGTATAAATTAAACTGTTATACTCCTTCTAGTACGCGCATCAATAGCTGGATAATGCTGTCAAAAGGAAATTAAGTCATGTTTGCATGCATTAAATCAACGTGTCAACCTAGTCAAGGTAAACAAATTTTGCTCGAATATTCCTTCGGAAATATTACGTAACAAACACAATAAAAAAGGACCTGTCAGTATAAAGAATTCGACGAAGTGTTTACATTCGTCCCAGGAGGTGAACTTCTTTGACTAAATCATCTACAAAAGGCAAGAAAATTTTATTGAATAATTTATATGACTTTTTCAGGTTTGGTTTTATTTAAACCTTTCTTGAGTGGTAATCAATAATTTTATATTTGATATATTGATAGCTTTTAAGAATTTTGTTATTATACAATAAATAGCACAATTGACAACTAGAATTCTTACAATAAATGTTCTGTAAGATAGAGAGTGGAAAAGATTTATAATGAGTTTTGACTTCATCTCCTTCTCTATTATCGAAATAAAATTGAAATCATTCAAGGAGCTTTAAGTTTTATAACGTTGTAGGTATACAGTTTTATTGTACGGCTAAATATATGTTATATTCTTTATCAAATAAAATATATAATTCTCTTACATAAAATGTACTATAATTTTTGTTTTAATAATTTAATCTCAATAAAAAGTAAATGAAAGATTACGGGTAAATTTAACATCTAACAAATTGTTTATAGAAAAATATATCTCTAAAGTAATTCATTGTCATTTTACCTTCACCAACAATCAAGTGCAAACATTTACTTTTGAAATATCAAACACCTGTTATTTAAACAAAAGATAATTTATTTCAAACATTTAATGAACTACCGTCCAAGATGCAGGTAGTTTTCGAGTATTGACTGTCAATAATCAACCAATTTAAAGGTATTATATTTTAGTCAAGTGTGAAACAAAAGAAAACTATTTCCAGTGTAAGATTAGACGATTGTTCTGGCTCAACAGTATTCGTGACCTTTAGCATAACATAATGGAGAATACAAAACTTGTTCTCAAAGTTACTGGCTCAGTACAAGACAGTTCTAGATATCTTTCGCAAGCTCGTTTTATTGAATATATAAATCTCACATTATATTTTTATCTTTTAGTAGTTATATTAAAATTTATAAAACTTGATTTTAATCAGTATTTTTATAATTTTTTTTTTATAAACATAAAGGTTATAGAAAGAAATCTAAAGCATCTGAAAGTAGAAAGATTTTCATTTGTATTTTTGTAAATTGAAAGTCAATAGTTTTTTCGATGAATATACTGTAAATTTATAGCCCAACTCAGGCAATAATGTATGTGATAGTTTATTAACGTTTACTAAGAACACTAGATCTAAATAATAATTTACGTTATGGTACCTAAAGAAATGTGAAAGAAAGCATACAGAAGTGATGCTAAGTTAATACTTTAGAATAATATGAATATCTCAAGATGGTTAATTTGAATATAATCTTCCAGAAATATTGTAGTAAATTCCCAAATCCAAGAACCCACTTGTCCAAAGATACTTCTAAAGTAATATTGGTAACATTACTATGTTACCAATATTACTTTAAATAATGTGAACTACTACTATTCCTATTTATTGAGGGTTTATGTTTTTATTTTTTTCGTGTACACATGCCAACGAACACTTTTTATATGTCATACAAATTTGTGATAAAAATAATATTATGTTTTAGAATCAATATGTAGCTCACAGCTAACGTGTATATAAACTAAAACTCACCATTTCAGAATATTTAGTGAAACTGCTTTCTTGAGAGTTTCAGAAAGTGAGGCAACGTCATCTGGAAACATAAAAAATCTTTTAGATGGATTAAAATCTAAAAATACAAAGACATCCAAACTAGGTGCAATTTCTAAAATGATTATGCATAGATTTATAACTTTACTGTTAATAAAATATTTTATATTTCACAGTGACATGATTTTATAAAACGGATAACGTTGAGTAACATTATGCTCGTTATATTTGGTATGTTCAATAGATAAATTATACAGATTTAGTAACCCCCCCCCCCTCGCAGGAATGTTGTATAAGAGCTTCGCTCTCCTCAACAACTGTTGTGAAATATCATTTGAAACTTTTAAAAACCGTTTCTGCCACAACACACCAGAAACTCTGTTTCGTTGCTACATCCGTCAGCTGATTGGTTAACACAATAATCTCACTCATGTCTCACGTACATATGTCAATTAGAGAGAATAATTCGTTTATAATAATGTAGTTAGGAGAAGGAGGCACTGATTAGAAATGTACGACATTGTTGTTAATTACTTTTAGTAATCTTTATGACTCCGTATAATAAAATGATCACAGTGTGCATATTGTACAATTAATATAGTACTCGGTGCTATACGGGTGTAGTATGTAGTATTGCTAATGTTAATGAAGTATTTTTTTTTACTTTATAGTGGGAAATGCGTTATGAGTGCCTTTAGGAAATTCGATTCAGTTTTTTTTTAAACGATGCAATGTTGATGATTATTAATAAATACAGGATAGTCTAGCCATATTTAAATTATGAATTGCGTTTGCAATTGTTGAGATAAATATTCTAAATCAAATAGATGGTCTAATGAGGGTCCGCCTAGTGTGACGTCAGTTTCATTAAATATTAACAAACAAAATGCTCCTTAAGTATTATTTAAAAGTATGACTGCGCCATAATCACACAACGATAGTATTGTATGGGTTTTATCTCAAGAAAATTATATATTCTACAATTATGTTTTGTATTACTCCTAAACACATTTAAATTTGAAAAATATAAGCTAGCTAGTTGATAATATTAATGAAGACAAGAAAGCCTCATAGAATAACGTGAGGATTCGCCCTGGCTTATGGGATTACCTGAGCTCCTGGCAGCTTCCTAAATTAGTTACAGCTTCTGTTATAGTAACAGAGACGCTTATGACATTCTTATCACATTGACTTGATTAAAAGAATATATTAGATTTAGCCTAAGATGGATACGACACTTACGAACATGGATTTATTGTGTTTGTAATTCCAGGGACAAATAAGCAATTTATTCTTTGGCATTTAGTATGCACTAAACATTTAAAATATGATCCCAAACATTTTTCTACTAAAATAATACGATATTGCGTAAGGGATATAAAACAAAGAACTGCTGGTACACATTTTAAAATTTTAAATTGTAGAATCCATTTATTGTAATTGAAAGACGACTTTGTTAACGCCAAGCATTGAAGCATTATCTGTTTACTTAACTGAAAGTACATAACTGACACATAGATTGTTTTACTGCTACATTTCTATATTACTAAAGTACACTTTAAACATAACATTATACTCTAACAAATCGACTTCATCAATTCTGATTATATCAAAACAACCCTAACTATTTACACATGATCAGCTGTTGCCAATGGACATTACATTTTTACAAGAATAATTTTAACATATAAAAAATAAAATTACATCTTACATTATCAAGACCTAACCTTCTTTTAAGTTTAAGTTTAATTTTTAATTTTGATGTGTTTTTGAACCACCAAAATAGGCCTATAATTGGGAATCCATTTCTATTTCAATGACCTTAAAGAGGACGTTGCATTAGGAAAGGGCGTTCAAGTTAGATACAATTTTATAAGCTCTAGCAACACTAATATAAATAAATTAAATACCGATTTTTCCTCTAAATTGATTTGTTTCTAACGTTTTTAATAGATTTTAGACATTTGACTCATACCACTTGTTAATAAACCACGGACCCGATGGATGTAAGGTTAGCTCACGAGGTGTGCGATGCTGCCTGAACACATTATTGGTTACTTGTTAGAAGGGGTTGATTTATTGTAATACAATGTTTAAAGAAGTGTATAGTATGGCTTATTGGCTAATTGTGCACTCGATAAGTATCCCAAATTTTATTTCAGGTCAACGATTTTAAAATTTGCAATATATTGTTTAGATAATAAAACAGAGCTTATTATTATTTGTCACAACAATTAAATCATAAATACCCCACCGCAGGAAACCTGCAGACAAATTGAATTTCCATTTGCTTGATTGGATTTTCAGTTGAATATATTTAAATAACGTAAAGTTTAATAACCTTGGGTTGTAGCTACGGGGAAAGTAATAAGGTGTGATTAAAAAAAAGTATTAATAGTTTAGTACAAAATAAATAAGTTTTCTAGGTATTTAAACTTGCATAATACAACAGTTTACATATTTCCCATAATAATAAGATAGGAATTTTAAATTTATAACTTTTAAGTTTTCTCCTAAACCAATAATAATTAAAAACACTTCAATATACTCGATTATTAGTCTTTTAAGCTCTTTAAAAAATTTTATAGAGAAATTGGGAGTTTTTTTGTTTTGAGGGTCAGAAATAAGTAACCCCAATTTTAACACAAAACCCCTACTGGAAAACTCGTTGTCACAGTCCGATCATGCTGGTTCGCGAACTCATTTAAGTTTATCCCGCCCTACACCTTCAATCCAAATTTTATCACATACAAATTTAAACGAATAGTGTGCTTTAGGGACATGAAATAAAAAAGTTTATCGGTCCCGGGTCTAGGTCTTCCCGTGCCACATACGATTCTTACCTTTAGGGAAATTGGCTAAAACTACGATTTACAAAAAAAATATCTTTGAATGAGACCTTGAGTTAATGACATTTAGAATAAAACATGCAACAGTGAGATCTCGACAATAGTTAAATTCAGGATTATTCCGTAGAAAAGATTGAAAAGATTAGATGGATCTCAGATGTGGTTTGTGATTTGGAACTACTCCAACACCAAGCATAAAAGAGGACTCATAACTGGCAAGAGGAAAAACGAGAAATTTTCATATAAGTCTAGACAGAGCAAAGGTTTGTTCTATTCAGTTTATGCGAAGATTTACTCGTACGCATAATAGAAACGTATTACTTAAAGCAATCACAATGTTTGGTTGTTTACTTAATACCTTTACTTGAAATGATGACCGTACGAAGGTAGGCATTGCCAAGTATGAACGGGGATGAGTATTGCGATCTTGTAGTCCTGTTACTGACTAAGGCCGACACGTTCCTTAGACAGGACTGTTAATTAATAGCCCATACAGCCAATGACAACTAAAGGACTAATAGCTTATTGTGAAATGTGAACTACAATTTGGCTTTTAATTTACAAAATTGTCTAATTATCAGGTGTACTGTGGATAGTCGTAGTACTCACTAGTGCGGACGGTAATCCGGACCGGGGAGAATCGCATCCAGAGTGCATGCCTTATATCCACAAGTCGTAACCTCCAAGTAGCTGGTTTACAGGGTTACGCCGCGGTTGAAGTCAATTTATGAACAGTGATTTAAAGAAAATACTAAAATTGTTGTGATTTGGAGAAAAATATTCTTATACACTACCAAAAGTGTTTTCATTTTGAAAATTTCTTAAACAAGTATACCGTCAACTATACTAAAGAAAACTGTACTACGAATACTTTTTTATTTGGTGAAATGTGCCCTTTCGGATAAGTAGTTGTAGAAATATTTTTTTTATTTTTTTTATTTTAAAACCTTGTAAATTAATATTTGTATAAACTATTGACACTAGCTAGTACTGTTGGTACGTTGAATTATTACCTAACTAAGAAACATATTTTTTTGATTTTCAAATTTCCACTGACATCATCTTGTTTCTGCGATTGCACTTAGTCAATTTGTAAAACCACTCGTGCAGAGACAATTCTAATTGAGTTTCCGCCATCTTTATAGGTTTATTATATACAACATAAGGTTTTGCTTGACATAATAAAATATTTATTTTTTCACCCGCTTAATATTTGATCTATATGATTCCTAAATTAATATTACAATTTAACTAAACAATCACTAATATAAGTAGTACCCTCTTTTTAGTCATATGAACGACAAAGTAAGATATAAATGCTTTAGTAATGGTAGTGAACATTTCGATTTTACAATACTTTAGAACGTGTGTTTAACTTACGATTGATTTTTGTCAATATTTTATTTATAACTTTATTGATATATCATGTAATTGGTTGTTAATAAAAAAAAATAAATAATATCGTTTTCAAGATGTATGATAAGTAGTTAATCGATGATTGCACACTGTATTATTGGATATATTGTTTAGTAAAATACAGTTCTTATGTTGGCCCTGCATATTGAAATAGAAGCTGTGCTGCCACATATCGGCTTACGTGATCATAGATAAAAGGAGTAAACAATCTACTCCTTTTATCTATGCCATGACGTAGCAGACCGTCTAATAGACATGCGATATTTGACATGGGTCCACACAACTATGACGTATGATGTATGACGTAAACAACTTAAACTGTCACTCCCAATCTTCTTAGTGGGCTGTCCATAGGTCCATTGCTATGGTTATGAATAAATGATATTTCGTAACATAAATCACAATAAGTAAGATTAGGAAAATAAATAAAGCACATAGCTAACATTGTTAGTTTTTACAATATTTTTACTTTTGTAAAGAAATCATAAAGAAACTATGTTAATTTTACATTTTTAATTATTTCTTACAACTTCATAATTATATTTGTGAAGGAAAAGGTCTTAAACATAGCCATTTAAAAGGGTGGACCAAAAAAACAGGGACAATTTTAAAATGTTATTACTCAGCTGTTATAAAGGCTGGAGAGTTCATTGATGCGGCAAAAGAAAGTTTATTTGATGCCATTTAGTGTATAGTTACAATGGATCATCAATGGTTACCGCAACATCGTGCCTTTGTCATAGAGACATTTTTGTAAGAATAATTTGACTTTCATTTC